GGGACTGATGACAGAGGAGAACAATACTTCAGGACTAATTGTCTCAGGGAGTCAGTGTGCCCTGGTGAAGGCTGGGGATGAAGAAGGTTAAAAAGAGAAAAGTGAGTTCTGGGTTTTACCTGTAGAGCAATGGTCATAAAATGTGTCAAATTCAGGGGCAGGCAGATCTCTGTGAGTTCAAGGCCAGCCTGATTTACATAGTGAGTTCCAGGACAGCTGGAGCTACAGGGAGACCCTGTCTCAAAAAGACCAAAAAAAAAAACAAAAAAAAAACCTGTCAAATTCACTTAGTGCTTGAATGCGAAGTACCAAAATTAAGGGGAACTCTACTTTTCACTGAACATATTCTCTTTTACAACTTATTCTGTTTTGTGATGTCACCCTGGAATTTAGAAATTATTTTAGTTTATTATTTTCTTGAAAATCTCCAGCTTGTGTCCATACATTTGTATGAACTAGAGTCATCTGTCAGATTTTCTGTGTCCATGCATTTTATTTACTGTATTTGAAAAATCAGATTATATTCATTATTTTACTGGCATATATGGCTTCCTGAGAGGTCTTGTTATTTCTGTTTTAATATTTTATTTTGTTTTAAAATGTATCCAGTAAATAACTATACAAAGCAAAAGTAATTACATTTATCTCTATGCCATACAATGTCATTTGACTATAGCCGCCCCCATTGCTCTCTCTTCGGCTTTTTCCATTCCTTTTTACTATTCTTTTTCCATTCCTTTTTACTAATTACGTTCATGAGTTTTTACTTCTCACAATGCTTCATCTTAGTTTCTCCAGCAGAATTAGAAGAATGTGATTATTGGTGCAATTTAACACTTTGTGAAATTTTAGGGATATTTTGGTATAATAACAAATCTTTCAAATGTTTAGAAAAATACTTCATGACTGAATTCAGTGAATGCATTTTTGTCTTTGGGAACTGACAACACTCCATTGTTTTAATGCCTCATTTTCATTGAATGTGGCTTGAAAATTATATTTTTGTCATAAAACTAACCCATGTTTCTTTTTTGAGTGGCAGGTGCATCCCTGAGACCCTATCCCAGCAGTAAGTGTTAAATTATTTCAAATGCAATTTCTGTCGTAATCGTGATTTTGATTTATATGCATTGACCATGTTTTATAGTGAGTTGTGTTAACCACCTTCCTTATATGATGTGGATACCGTCCCAGTATTGCTAATTCTTGATTATCACATTATTCATTTAAAACAGATATGAATGAAAATTGTTTAACTTTAGAATCAATTTTGCATCTATATTTAGAGTTAAGATAGAGTGGAAGATTGCTTATATCTTATAGTTAATTAAGAGTTTGGTCCAATTATTATTAAATATGTCCAACATTTACAATTCTTTAACATTTACAGTATGATAGAAACCATGTAATGTATGGAAAGTCAAATAATGAGACCAAAATATCACAGACTCAGCCCTACAAATTAACATGAATTTAATCCTGTTAGAAAAACATTAGGAACATTATAGGAAGTTACTGTGGGCATCATATATTCGGCACCTTCTGCCCTTTGTCCTCTATTCTTTGCCGTATCCTCTTCCTAGTACCACTTCCAATCCAGCTCATGATCTATGAGGTCTATTGTTTATTTTTTATTACATTTTAAAAGTTATTTTTATGTTTTCCCTCCATTAATATAAGTGCACCATGAACATGCAATGCCTGAGGAGGGCAGAAGAGGGAATTGGATCCCCCAGAACCGGAATTAGGATAGTTGGTAGCTGCCATGTGGGTGCTGGGAACATAATCTGGGTCTTCTGCAAGAGCAGCCAGTGCTCTTAACCACTGAGTCCTCTCTGCAGCCCCCTAATTGCTTAAAGCTTAACAAAGGTTCGTGTTTCCTTTTTCTCAGTTTTTGATATTGCATTGCAATCTAGCCTCATTTACAAAAAGTAAATTGCTTCTCAATGATGCATTTATGGGTTTTTTATTATTAAATTCCATTGAATGGGCAATAATAATGATGACCTAGTAATCATGGACTCTGCCAACCTTGCAGTCATCTTTTTTTTCAATTTCATTTATTTATTTATTTTTATTTTATGTGTATGAGTGATTTGCATGCATGTATGTAAGTGTACATGTGTTACACAAAATCTTCAGAAGCCAGAAGAGGGCAGAAGGACCCATGGAACTGGAGTTAAGGGAGATTGATAGCCACCATGTGGGAACTGAGACTCAAATATGGGTCCTCTGCAGTGCTCCTCTCTAGCTCCCTGATGTTTGTTTTTTTAAAACCTTTTTTTCAATGTATATTTTTATTGACTTTTGATGCAGTTCTTATGCTACATATTAACCATGTGACTTCCTCACCTATGTGGACCTCCCACCCATAGGATTTAAGGCATATTAAATGTATAAAATAAGGGGTTAATTATAACACTTTAACATACACAGATCATGTACTTCCATTCATTGCCAGTATCATATCATCTCACGTCCCTCCGTTTACCTAGTGCTTTTCCTTTTTCCAAATAGCTATATCTTTCTCTTTCTATTTCCTTTTTTCCTTCTCTCTGTATAGAAGTAGATGCACAGACAGATAAATAGATGTAGACAGATAATATATCTAGATTATGTGTTAGTGTATATCTAGATTATTAGTGAAATCATGCAATACTTGTCTTTTTGTTCTGATTCATTTTGCTTAATGAGACAATACTTAGCAAAACCCTTTTTCTTGAAATTAGCATAATTTTTCTTCATTATTGTTGAAAAACATGTATTATATATGTATGTATCTTTATACTTAATCTAATTTATATGTGGCTTTCAAATTTTTAAGATGATCTGCATGATTCAAGTCTTATCCATTTTTAAAAAATGCATCAAACATGTATTGATTCTATTATCTCAATTGTTTTCAAAACAATATGTACTTAGTTAAGAGCATTTCCAACTAAGCACAAAATAACACACATGCTTTTCATTTTAATAAAGATGTGGTTATAGTATCTTCCTCTTCTCTAAGTAACTCACGTTATGTTCATACATATTGGAAGAATACACCTGTAAATCATTTTGTGAAAGAAGAATCCATGGGAGATTCATTTATTTGAAATGCTATGCATCATTCACAAGAGGCACTGGTTCTGTTGTATTTATAATAATCTGAATCGCTTTGCAGAAGGATGTACCAGTTTGAGACTATTGCTAAATTACACACACATACACACACACACACACACACACACACACACATGCAGGCAAGATAGATTTGTTGTGATGATAAGACGTGTGCCTTTTTAAAATGCCCATTGTACACACCAGGAAACACAGTAGAACAATTACAACATCAAGTAATTTAAATAGTCTATTCAGTCCTAACCTGAAGTGCATAGTTACTACTGGAGAGATGCAACATTTGTATTAAGGTGAGTTTATATGACTTTCAAAGGAACACACAGATGGTATATTCATAAAGCATTTTACTACTGCTACTACTACTACTACTACTACTACTAAGTTTACTAAAATTAATTCAGCCTCAATAACCATGTATGCTAAGCATTCAC